TATCCATCTGCCAACACTACCTGCTATCTGGGTAAAACCACCACCATTTAAACCAGCTACCCCGGCTCCAATATACGTGAAGCCAGACTTAGTGCAACCGCCAACCCCAGCACCAATTGAAGTTAGGCCTAAGCCTGTGTATCTACCTCGGCCTGCTTCGATTGTTGTTAAACCGGCGCCGGTTCAACCACCAAAGCCTGCTCCAATTAAAGTATGAACTTTATAACAGAACATAATTTAAATGAAACTATAATAATAAAGAAATCGCAGTAAGGAAGCTTAGACTTGGCACGACTTTGTCTAGATTTCATTACTTTTTAGAGATAAACAAGCAGCTCCATTGAGACTTGGCTAGTTTTTTACAGAATGTTTTCGGTAGGATTTCATTTCTTTTTGTAGAAACATGGGCACATTGATTTATTTTATTAGATTTTCTTATTCGACACATTCTTTTTCTTTTTAGGAGTAATTTTTTTTATTATTACAAATCTTTCTTTTTCTTTTTTTCCGGTTCTGATTATTGTACAGTAGCAACAGTTTTTCGTATTGCCCATTCGCGTTCATTATTTATTCTTTTAGACGGTTTAGACGGTTTAAAATCTGAAAGATCGGCGCGGTATTTACGCCTAAGCCGGTTGTATTCGGTGATCGCTGAGGCTTGAGCTTTTATACTCTTGTAGTCAACATTTATGAGGTGCATCCCATGAAGATTGGTTACTCGTGGAAGCGCCACGTAGGCTTGGCCACAAATGAATATGGAGGCGCCAATGTCCATGAGGGCATTTTTTAGACTTAGACCTTGGCTCTTGTGAATTGTTAGGGCATACGCCACACAGATTGGGAATTGTTCCCTGTACACGTATGCCCGGGGTATGATCTCAAATTTTGACTTAATAGGCAATCATTCGTGAATCAAATTATTAGCGAATTTTACTACCAATTGTTTCGGCTTTGTTTGGTCTTCCGGGTCCCACCTCACTTTTTGTACAACGCCTAATGACCCATTCACTAAACCTAAACTAACATCAATATTTATCCTAAGCATTACTTTAGCTCCCTCTTTAATGATTATAGTTTCTTCCAGCCCAGCAGTCATCGACGCATCATCTTCATATTTTTGTAAACACGCCCGGGCTTTCGTTATCATACATTTTGAACAATCCAAGGAATCTTTAGCAACTTACTTTATCTTGGGGTGCGTTTTAAAATACAGTCAGCACCATCTAGCGAGGTGTGCAGGTATCACCGCCACTCTTAGTCCAATGCATTATATTTTGACCAAATTTTGAGCAAAATTAATATTTTAGTGTAATTTGTTTATTTAATTTGAATAATGTTCGAGTAGAATAAAGTTAATCGTTCGACTATTTTTTTCTTGTAAATTTGTAAGTATAAGTATAAAAGCAAATCAAGTGTTATCCAGAGTTTTTCTTTAATTTTATTTATATGCGTATTAAAAGCAGAAGGGGGGGCATTCGTCCAGCAGTAGGACGCTATAGGTTAGCTTAAATTAGAAGATGTGTCCCACTACGCTGGATTTTGCAATGACAGTAGATTTTTAGGTACCAATGGTAGAGGGGGGCATTACCATATCTCTAATACAGCTGAGACCAGCTGAGGGTTCTTCATCAGATACTTTAGACCTTCGATTTTTGACATCAAATGAAGCGGCCCACCAAGTTGAATATTTTTTTGTAAAGGTATGTCGATCTCTTCTAATAGTTTGGTTGGGCTCTTGTGTTTTCTAATCAGGGTCACCAGGTACTCCAGATGTTCGATTATCCTAGTTTTTATTGTTTTCCCTTTATGTGGTCATTAAACCCTAACACTATACCAAATTTCAGCTCTCTGAGTTTATGGGAAGTACTAGTTCTATTCTGATGATCATGAGTGAGTGAGTGAGTGTCATAAATGCGAAACTTTGCTTTCGCTTAACTTCGGAAGTAAATGACCTACAGACTTGAAATTTTGGATTTTAAGTATGTGATTATAGTTTACTGGATGACGAAAATTTCTGCGTTCTGGTATTATCCAGAGGTTCTCAAATAGGGGCATGAAAATGCGGCGAAATGGTTCCAGTAAAGGATGGTACGGCAGTGTTTGCTTCGCGCTCGACTTGGCGGGGGTACTGCCGTGCCCTCCGATATGTCTATGATACTTTTTATTTTATCTACACATTATTTTTTAAATATATAATTTGCCGAGTGAAGGTAGGCCAGGCCACAGGTATTATTAACTAAGGAATAAATAATATACCGATTAAGACACGCGGTAACTCACCTAGCAAAGCTTTCACCAGCATTCACTAAGTCCTCAAGGTGGTTCTGTATGATGCTATGATTAAAAATGAAGTTATCTTGTGTTGCTTCCCCACAGGTATCGTCAACATTCAATATATTTAAGTCCGCATCAGTAATCTACAAAACAAAAATAACATTATATTTTGAGTTACCTACTGAAAAAGAGTCATCAGCAAATAATACTGTATCATGGTTATCCTCTACTATATAAGGTAAGTCATTAATATATACAAGATACAATAGGGCCGATAATTGAGCCTTGAGGCTCGCCTATTGGTACTATCGACCCGGAAGAACTCTTAATGAAACCTAAATTCGACGCTAGGTTTATATGGCCTTTCATTGTAAAGTTCATATAGCCTTTGTCTACTGTTATGGACGCCTACTGTCGTCCGTTCATTTTGTGTTTTTTTTCATGTGTGATTTCGCTTACATTTCTTCTTGCGTCACGCCTCATGTAGGAATACAAAGTAAAAACATTTTCCATTTCCGTTCCAAGTTTCAGTTCCTTTCATACAGATGCACAAATTAAATAAGTAAACATAACAATGTTTTAAGTTTACATCGCAAATTTTGTCATAAAATTTAGAAAGCGGCTATAACCTAAAAAACCAAAGAAATTAGAGCTGAGTTCTGCTTACAGTTTATTGTTTAATATAGATCATAAAAGTCAAATTTTGCGTAATTTCTCTTTAATTCTTTAATTAAATTCTTTAATTAAACTTGATAGTGTATTAATGATAATTACTTAAATCAACATACTTGCTACACAAATAAAAAATATAAACCTTTCGAGAGTTTCGGTGCACGTATTCAAATATCAAGTTGAAACGTAACGAACTGTTAGTGAACGTGAGGGAGTTGAACTCGCAAACTACTGGTGTGGGTATTCATTCATTTAAACATTTCTGTGAATCACGAGTAGGTCCTTTCTCAGAATTATATTTCTTACACAAAATTTATTCAGATCAATTCATTTTTGAGGTGGTGCTTCAACTATAACTATAAAAGTTACCATTGAATTTGAAACATAATAATTTAAGAGATCTTTTAGTAAAATACTTAATATGACGACTCGGTTTTATACTGCTTGTTGGTTAGATAGTCATAGCAACGTTTTCGTTTTCGTTTTTCATTTGTTCAGAAACAAAATGTTGTTTTCTTACTCTGTCTAATTTAACTTAAAGTGGTACTGTAGTGGTTGTAGATATGGACCACAGTTTAACATAAATTATTTCATTAACTTATAACGCATTTTACATAATTTTTTTTATTCTAGCGTTATTTATAAAGTAGGTTTTGTACTGCATTAAGTTAAAGCTACAGCCTATTTACGTTCCACAGCTTGGCATAGATGTTCTCTCATTCCTCAGAGAGTTTTAAGACAAGGAAATTTGACAGCTCCGTAGCGGAGTGGCTTAGCAATGAGTGGCTGCGCTGGGGGCCGCGGGTTCGAATCCTGCAGGGAACAAGTATTTATATGGCCTACAAATAACTATTCCGGGTCTGGATGTTTGTCCTTGTGCAACTTATGTTTATAAACTACCTCCACGGTACAGAAGAAAATCCTAGTGTAACGTTTTTAAAAAATATATATATATATATATATATATATATATATATATATATATATATATATATATATATATATTATCTTCACAGACAAAGAGTTGGCGCTTGGATGTTGTCTGCGATTAATTTTTACGACACTATTTTAGATACTCTGACGGCTACTCTACGCAGTCCTAACACTAAACTAAATTGATATTTATCGTTCATTGATATCTTTTAATATATCTAGTGGCAGAAGAATACTATAGAGTAATACAATAAGTTAAAAAAAGTTTTGATCAGCATTGTACACACACAGTGCATATTCGCGAATTTTACCGGACGGACCAAAATCCACACCAAACAGTGACTTCTTGGTAGATTTCCCATGGATTTTGGTAGCTCCGAATCTAGCAATTTATATTTGTTAACAAAGCCACTTAACTAGAAATGAGCTGATAAATATTATTTTCTTTCTAAAAGCAGAGTTAACCGGCAAATGCTCTTTAGTATAATTACGCCGTTGTGTGTTGTAGTTGGATTTGAGCTATTGAGTTGAGCACTACTTTATTGCAACTTCTGTGATCATGTGGCATAAGGGCAAATGTCTTTAGTTGCGTATCATACTATTGTTTAATTTTTTATTTTGTTTTTTATTAATCACTATTTTGAAGAGATGCTGCAACAAATCGTTTAAACTAGACACCATTACAGCACTAATGTTATTTTGAAGTGAGGGCAGCCTTTCCAAATTTTTTATCACTTGAAACAACTTTTCCACTTTATCATTAGCACGTTTTTTGGTACTCTTAAATTTTTTAGTTTTTTTTTGTTTCATAACTAGGCGTCCCCGAAGAATATCAATAGTTTTCTTAATTTATTTTTCTTTCTCAGAGAATTGTCTATAGCAGAAACGTTTGCAGTAGAGCTACTAGGGTTATATCTCTGTAGACATATAACGATGCTTTGCGTTTCGGCTTCAATACAACCAACATAATATATACACTAATATAATTAGTGTATGTATTATGTACTTATCTATAACAAACATTAATAAAATGAGGTGTTAACTACCCTCTTATCTATATATAGGGAGAATATAGAGAGCCTGTATAATTATAAGCTGTAAGGCATTTTATATTAGTCTTCAGGGGGTCAAAACAGCTTTGTAGCTTTCTTTCTTTGAAGCTGACAGTAGGCGACCATGTAATGCAGTAGCCGTTTCGGTCAAGTGATCCTGTAAGGTACTTTGTTACTTTCGGTTTAAAAAATAAAGATCACAAAGATGATGACAACAATTTGTACACATTTGAACATGCGCAAACGAAAATTACATATGTCCAATCCAATATTTATTTAAGAAACT